CAGATTCGGCAATTATTTGATATTGCTATGCATTCATTCAAAACGAACTGATCATGAATTAGTACGGTTTTCAACCGTATAGCTGATCCATACCTGAAGATACATAAAGTGTAACGAGTTATACCTCCATCTAGGTTAGGTTTTTCAGTCCAAATTTGATTTGAACTTGAACATCATTGATTTCAACATCAATAAGGTACGCCTGATAAAACTCAATACTGTGTACCGTTTTAGAAAATCGAAAAAGATATTAATAAAAACATGAAATATTGAATACACGATTCTATATTATTTTCTCAAAAAATAAATACTATTCTGAATGATAAGGTCGTTACAGTGATGTTCAATCCTGTCTTGCAACTTTTGACGTGAATTTACCTCTGTAGCATAGACTTCCTGCTTAAGATACAACAAAACTGTGTAATGCATGTTTTTAGTCAAATTTGTTTCAATGTTCATTTTGTGATTGATTGTTCAATTAACGAGTTCAGCATCAAAAATATATTGTTAATGTCGATTTTCAATAAATAGGTGATAGGTTTCCATAATAACTCACTAACTTACATAGCTATATATCAGCAACGCAGTTATAATTTCATCATTCTCTAATCGAAATATTTCGAAAACGGAACATTAAGTTTAACCAAGAGTATACCCTTTTGACGTGAAATTGCATGATGTTCAAGATCACATCGAATTTGGAATGAAAAATTCAACCTCAAAAAAGATAAATATGTTCCACATTACTCGGTTCGAATCGTGTTACTTACACCTTCTATGAGAGTCAGATATAAATATAAAGTTCATGTGATCTGTCAGCTTCTAAAACACATCCATACAACATTTCATCACAATGATGCCAGTTTGTTTCGACAAAGCCGTGAAGATGTGTAAAAAAAACATATTATGAACACCTTGTATATCTTGGAAAGCAAAGCAACCTCAACTCATTCTGGATTGTTCTATCCACCCTACCAGCTTTCATTGAACACCCTGTATAAGGAACGTGATGTGATATTTATTTTGATCACTTTGAAAATTGGTATCAGTTAGTAGTAATTCTGCCTTTGATCGCGATTTTGGATTATGGAATTGATTCACAATGAATTCTCCGCGATGACTGTGTACTATGGCAGGATGGAAGACCTTGCAAAATAATTATGTTTTATCACTGTTAACAATGTTGAGAAGGAATCACTCACGCGATAACGCTTAGCAATGACCTAGCCTTGAAACTGCTTCAGGAATAATATCACTAAAGTAAATCGAGTTCGATCTACCCGACCTCATTGCTTATTGAATTGTAGAAATCATTCATACTCAAAGTGGTCCAATGTATCTCCAAAAGAAACTGAAAACTCAAAAGTCGGTCGACCACACTTCGTCGAACAGAGAGATTTGTCTGTCTCTTTAGCCGTTTCAAACAGACATTTTTTATACCTGACCTGCCTGATGTTCAACCTAATGACAAGTTTCTTGTATCTATTTTGTTGGTTCAATGCCCATAAGTTTGAGTCTGAAATTTCCTTGGAGTAGGTATGTTATTCTCAGTTGTGATGCCTTGTATAAACACTCATCTAAATTCAAAAAGGTTCGAATGAGTAGTGAGGCAGGGGTCCTTATGAATCACGATCTGAAGAGATCACTCTGCACCCCAAAAAACTCGAGAAGCAATTTGGAATTTCTCTTTGAATGTTTGCTGAATTCATTTTCAGTGCTGAATCCTAATTTATTTAACCATGATCCACGATTCTGAGATATAAGAGATAAACGCAGGATGGAAGATGATTCATTTAAGTTTTCCCGGAGTTTCCCGGCTGAGACTTTCCGTTTTTATGCTTTTTCTCCGTCGGGATAAGGACATACTCGATAAATAGGTCAGTCTCATAATTATATGGGTTATAAATGTCCTTTCTGGTCTCTTTGTTGTGGGGTTGATGGCTATAAGTTGCCGCCCGCTTCAGGCGAAAGAGATAGATCTACGTTCGACTCGTTGATTCACAGTGTTCAGTTTCACTAGTCCAGTCCTTCGAATGCCATCTCTTCCGATTACATATTGAATTCCGGTTTCCATGATACATTTTCCAATAAGGATGTTTCATGGAATCCCCGATTTTAACCGATGGAGTTTTACACTAATTAGTTCACATAACTGCAATTTGTATGGCACCAATGGGGATACTTCAATTAGTTCAAGAAGCTACTGATGGCTGAAAATTCAGTTCTGTTCCATAAATAGAAGATAAGGAATAGAGGAGAATTTCCTCCTTCCCCGCATCCTCATCTTTCTAGCAGTAAATTCCAAATGAAGTAATATCAATTTCATGCAATATCTCCACGTATTCGCGAAAATGATGAACTATAACTGAAAATATTGATGGAGATATTTCAAAAATGAGAAATTTCAAACAGCATCACGTCAAAAGTACTTATACCATGTGAATCATCAATCATGTAACTATATCAATGTTTTGTAATCCAAGCGAGTACACAGTACGAGAACAAGGAAAATAAAAATCTCCAAGTCGCTCGACCACACTTTAGGTAAAAATAAAGAGTTATGAGACTGACAAGACAACGCCCACAATCCTATGTTGTCACGTTTAGCAAGCCATATCTCCTCTAGTGACCATTAAAATAATTGTTATCAATACAAATTCATCATATCTACAATGAGACCCTACATATATACAGTGAGGACCAAAAGTCCGTCGCCCCCCCCCCTGTAACTTCTTTATTCTACATATTACAAAAAAATGTTGAATACATAAGTTGTAGGGTTTCATTCGATCTCTTTAATAGTTCAAGTTTCATTCATACAGAGTGTCTCTAAAAAGCACGGTGACTTAGGAGTTAATTTTTTTGTATAGGACACCCTGTATTTCATTGCGTTTTCATATTCTCTCTGAAGATCTGATTACATCGATGTATCACACTGGGGTCTAGCGGCAATGATTACAGAGATATAGGGTGTGAAAAATCGTCATTTTTCAACTTTAGGAATTTTTTTTGTCGAAACTAGTCATTATTGGTCGAAACGGCTTACATGTCCTCATCCCAACTTTCGATTAACTTTCTACTGATAATTAATTGGGACATTATACCGGGTGATCAGGATTCTGAATTCTGCATCACCCTGTATTTGTTTCAATTAAATGTCAGTAGATAGTTGATCAAAAGTTGAGATAGGGATATGTGAGCCGTTTTGACCAATAATGAATAGTTTCGACAAAAATAATTCCTAAAGTTGAAAAATGTCGATTTTTCACACCCTATTTCTCTGTAATCATTTCCGCTAGACCCCCAAGTGTGATACATCAATGTAATCGAATCTTCAGAGAGAATCTGAAAATGCAATGAAATACAGGGTGTCCCATTAAAAAAAATTAACTTCTAAGTCACCGTGCTTTTTAGAGACACTCTGTATGAATGAAACTTAAACCATTAAAGAGATCGGATGAAATCCTACAACTTATGTATTCAACATTTTTTTGTAATTTGTAGAATAAAGAAGTTACAGGGGGGGCGACGGACTTTTGGTCCTCACTGTATGAGAGGAAAAATCACAAGACAATGGATTTTTTATAGCTATAATAATCAAGAATATCAACAATACATAGTTTAGAATTCGTGAGTTATTAGATAAATATTATTTCTGAAGTTTCCTGTCGTAATTCGACATATGGCAACTGTTGCTGTGTTCTGCCCCTACTTACGAAATCGTGACGTCAGTTTTTATTTGCGATAAATTTGCAGCCGTTTGAAAGAAATATGAAAGGAATTGAGTAATAATTCTATTTAAGAAATAAAGAAAGTCTACTCGCTTATTTTTATAATGACTATTCCACTCTCGATCTCCAGAACCAATCAGAATCGACCATTTTCATGGTTTCTTCTGTATTCTAGCGATATTTTTCGTTTATTAAATTTTATCGGGCTCGCTCTACCAATACAGAAGCCGAATTGACCCACACGTGACCAACTAACCTCGTTTATCAGCGATGAAATTTTGACATCGTGTCTGGTAAAGATTGCTTTGGATTCAAATCTGAGAGTTCTGAGACAATAACCTAAGTTCCTACTTTTTTTATTTACTTATAATTCGCGTTAGTGAGATATTTTGTATGAAAGGCGAGACAATTATATTCTGACTGGACGTTTCATGTGTAATTTAAAAAGTTTGCATATTTGTTGACGGTCTGACATAACAATAATAGAATTCAAATTCCTTTTTGAAGTAATCTTCTTCAATTACTCAAGTTATTGTGACTCACTAATCTATGCGCGAGGATACGATATCTTTTTTTTTTATTAATCCATGTCACATAAATGATATTTATTTTGTTTGAATTGGATAGTAATTGTATACACTCTTTTGAGAGCAACCATCTCCAAGATAATAAAAAAAATATTGTTCATCAAAATTTTACATTCCACTTTGTGAATAACTATAAGTAAGTAGGTAGATAATTTCTAAAAAAGTAAATTCTGTATTTCATTTCTATCATTATGTTCTTCTTCGCAGTTCGAGTTGGAATATATTTAAATTATGTTTCCTATTTCTTATATATATTGTCTCATTCAATCATGAAATAGTCATACGAATACAACTCGTGATACTATTTTTCCTGGAAATATTCGTCGATTGACATACTCCAGCTTGCTGCTCTAATTTCGCTCATGACATTGATCCAAAACTACTCGCCGACGGCTCGTAGTTTTGATGACAATGTCATTCACGAAATTACTAGGCAACAAGCTGTCATAACAATCACCGAATATTTCCGGCAAAATATTATCACTTGTGGTATTATATATGATAAATTTGTGGGGATGACTTTAAGCGTGCCTTGTTTCTGAATCAGTGCCTTTGATGGGCTCTCGACCACTGGGCTACAATGTATACGGCTAATCGGCTATACCTCAAACCCCACATTTCACTCAGTGGTTACTTGTCGCATCGGATGCTCGACCTATTCTAAACCGATTTTTCATTCCAGGATGCAACAGGACGTATTATGGTGTGGTAGGCAAGACGTACAATCTGGAGCTCCATCGACCGAAAGAAGACAAAATACCCTTCATTTGTATCCTGACGTTCACGGCGGCAGGTGGCGAATTTGGGGATCTGATACAGGTGACTAAATGATAGATAGATAGATAGATAGATAGATAGATAGATATTATTGGAAATATTAGTGGGATGCAGTCTGAACCAATGAATCAATTAAATTTCTTCGTTATTTGTCGTCGAGCTTTCGAAAATTTTCATTTTCTTTATCAAGACTAACTGAAAACATCGAATGGAACAATAATATTAAAATATAAATGTACATCAATTGGAATTGGTATACTTACGAACATGAAATTCTATATAAAATTGATGTACATTTACATTTAAAATTAATGTTCCATTCGATGTTTTCAGTTAGTCTTGATAAAGAAAATAAATTTTCGAAAGCTCGACGACAAATAACGAAGAAATTTAATTGATTCATTGGTCCAGACTGCATCCCACTAATATTTCCAAGAATATTATTATAGAACAGTCACGAAAGCTTCCCCTTGATAGATAGATAGATAGATAGATAGATAATCTTTATTCACGTATAACCTTTAACAGGAAGTGAAGAGTCACAGCCATAGTATCAACAATCATATATACATGAAAATATTACATACATACATCAGTTTGTGAGGAAAAGGAAATTTCAATATTAATTCCTGCAATATATTTATGATTGTAGGTATTCCTCTATAGAATAAAATGAATTTTCTTTAAGGTATTTTATCAACAATTTTTTGAATTGACTTACATTATCAACATTTTTTAAATCTGGTGGAATTTTGTTGTAAATAGTGCTGCAGACGAATACAGGACCTTTTTCGAAAGTTGTTAGATTAAAATTCCTGATATGTATATTACAACCGTTCCTTGTGTTGTGGTTATGAATGCTATTGTTAGGTGGAAACAAAGATATATTACTTTTTACAAATAGAGATGCTTCTAATATCAATATATTGTAGACAGACATCATATTGTTTGATTGGAATAATAGGCGACATGAGTCTAAGGGTTTTATACCAAAGATGATTCTAATAATTCTTTTTTGAAGTATAAATATACGATTTATATCGACTGCTGAACCCCAGAAGATTATGAAGTATTTCAAATGTGGATACACAAAGAGTAATAAGTACTCATCAATTGTTTTTTAGACAAAATTGGTTTCAAATTACGTATTGCTAAATATGCTGAACTCAACTTTTTGGAGACATGTTTGATATGTTCTGACCATGAAAGGTTGCGGTTGCGGTTTTATCATTAAGGACAATCTTAATATTTTGGGTCTGTCGTCTGAGTTGAAACGATATATATTTTGTTTTGGATCGTTGATAATGAGTTTGTTGCAACAACACCATTTATATAAAATTGATCAAGTGAATTGTTGGCCTTTCACTGAACTTCATCACATGATTCTCCTGTTACACTTATAGTTGTGTCACCAGCAAAAATGACAAGGTTATGATCTTGTGGCAAGTGGTATTCAAGATCATTAATGAAAATCAGGAAGAGAAGGGGTGACAGGACGCTTCCCTGGGGTACGCCTAAGTTTATTTTTTCTGTTGTGGATTTCATATTGCCCACTTTCACTATAATTTGATCTGATAGAAATGATTCAATCCATTTATTCAAAGGTTAACGAACACCCATACACGATAGTTTCTTTACTAGTTTTCCTTTGTCGACACAGTCGAAAGCACGTGTTCGGTCAAAAAAAATTGTCAAGATATGTTTTCCTTGGTCAATTATTGTCTCATATATATTTTGGAAGAGGCTGAAGGCAGCTGTATTTGTGGAGAAATTAGGCCTGAAACCATGTTGTTTAGCTGATAGTAGTCGGAATTCGTACAAAAATATAGTTATTCTTTTTTGTACTAATTTCTCGAACAGTTTTGAAAAACATGAGAGAATCGTAATGGGTCGGTAGTTTTCCAATAGACTTATTTCGCCTTTTTTGTGAAGTGGAATTATCATTAAAATTTTCAAGAGATTTGGGAATATTCCCTGGAAAATTGACAAGTTGAAAATGAAACATAGGGGGTAGATGATGTAGTCTGCAACATATTTTAGAACTTTTATAGATAATCCATCATGACCACATGAATTTTTGTTGACCATTTCTGCTAAGTGTTCGGCTACTTCCTCTGCCGTTATTTCATGAAAAAACAGCGAGTTGTTGCAAGTTGGGCAAATGGTACAATTTAAGTTTTGTTGCCCTCCATAAGCTGAGTCCACTGCCTTTTCGGCAATATTTGAAAAGTAGTTACAGAAGCAATTTGAGATCTCAAAGGGGTTATTTATTTTGTTGCCATCCTCATCAGTAATAGATGTGATATTCAGTTGGTCTTTTAGTCTGCCCAGAGTAGTGTTCACAATGTTCCAAATTTCTTTGGTGGTATTAGAAGCATCTAGAATTTTGTTGTGATAAAATTCTTGTCTTTGTAGTTGTACTTTGTCGTAAAAATACTTTTTGGAATTTTTATATTCCTCAATTATGATTGGATTTTTTGTGTTTTTCTGAAGCCAATATAAATTCTTAACTCGTTTGCTTTCTTCAACTTCTTCTTCATAGTAATTCTGTTTCTTGAAAGCGAAGTCGTTTGAAATTCGAGGATAATAAAATATAGACAGTGTCTTCCACATGACAACACAACACCATTTCAATTTGAGGAACAGGAGAATATATCTTGTCAATAATTTGGCCCTAATTGCAAGATGAATTTTGCGAATAGCTTGGCTGACTGCAATTATTATGAGTTTGAACGAAAAACACATTTTTCTTCGCGCGAGGGTCCGAAATAGATTCTCGTTTCAATGTTATGCTTGAATTGCTTGAATTGAAAAATCAAATGAATCGAATAGATTACCACTAATCAAAATGTTTTCCACTTGTTGGCAATCCCGAAAACGTTACTTTTTGTTGCACTTCCAAGTATTAGAAATGGCGAAGGCGCCATAATCAGGAAACATGTTCGATGAACTAAAGATTACTGAATGACTACGATGAACGTTTTTATGTCTTGTTGAAATTGTGAAATTGAATGGAGCATGTACCATACCTCTGATTTGGATGTTCCGTGTTAGTTGACAATCCTAAAAATATTGGACTGCTGTTCTGCAGCAATTTCAAATATTCGAAATGGCGAAAGCGCAATAATTTGGTGAAAATGTTCGATAAATGACCATATCATTATGTTGAAACACATTTTTCATGCTTTATCGGATTCTCCTTTTATCAACATCAACATCTACATAAGGCCTTTGATATAGAATAGTATTAGTTGGGAATTATATATTGTTTTTCTTGGTATTGTTGAACATTATATAATGTTGTTTTCTTTCCAAAACATCTGGGACAATATATGAAACAACAATATTGTATGAACATAACAGTGATATATGAATATGATGTACCTACCTCTCATTCGCTATCTGAGTCTGATGAAACATTCAAAGGCTCGTCCAATTTAGGTACCTCAGTATTCGAACATTTGAATAAATAGGCATGATTTTGAACATGAACAGAACAGCTTGTTTCACATCAGAACTTCATCACATCATTGCTTTGGAAGCAGGACCCTCTGTTGAGGATATAACCTCATATTTATTGTCATTAAGCACTCAGCCGCAGTTTGAAGGACTAGACAAATCTGGAATAGGTACCTACTATCGGTATACTATTCTGACAAACAGCAGATATCAATCTGTCTCTATAGTAATGAACTGATTAAAATCGTGTCAATCCTCCCAAAAATTCTCACATCAACAAGATATCCACCTGCTATATTAGATATATTATTCCGGACTTGTGAAGACGAAGAACAACAAATTTCTCCGTTCATCATCATCATCTAAAAAAGTGCATCCTAGGTTGGCAAGGAATCTGAGGATTTTCTCGTCTTCTAACTTCAAAAACAATTTGCAACATGACTCCTTGTTTTTCCTGAAAAATTATCTCGACACATCCCTTCCTGATCCCTAATAACACAATAACATCTGTGAGACGTCGTAGAAACATCCATATGGGATGATAGGAACATCTCTGGAAAATCCCTATTTTCCTTGGGACATTCTTGGGATGTTGCTGGCAACACCCTTGTCAGCATTTGCGATGTCTTATAAACATCCCATCGGAAGGTTTGTGGGATGATACGGGATGTACCAGACATTCAGGTTACTTGATATGGAACATCTTAAAGAAACTTCTAGGATGTTTTTTGTTTGAAGACAGTGATGGATGACACGGTATGAATTATTTTCAATCTGAAATCCTGAAAATGGACGACCTATTTCCAGATATAAAGTGACAATCCGAATCCGAAAATATAAGGTCGGTGCGGTCCAATAAATAATGGAAGATGATTACAGTTGTGTGAGGCTCATATTTGTTGGCGCTGGGCCGACGGCTGTTAGTAACTCTTAGCAACGTAGTTGTACCGCCATCTATCGGCTGGTATAACAAATAAATTCAGCAATAAATATGCTGGAGAGATATATTTCAATTTTGTCGTTTCGTTCATGATGTTAAACAGGTACTTTGGTAATCCTATTGAGGAATATTTAGTATAATTATTTCAATTTGTATTCGATGAAATTAGCCGGCTTTGGTATAGGTATAAGTATATGAGTATACGAATACAGTTTTGATTTCCATTTTTTACCAACTCTTCAATGTTTCAAATGTCACAATTGTTTGAACTATTCAATCATGTCAATCATCATCAGCGAATATGGAACCATGATATTGGTTATAAAAAAAAATCAAATGGGATGTTTCTAGAAAATCCAATGGAAACATCTGATGGATGTCCCAAGAAAAACATCTCTGGGATATCGTACCTAAGTCTGAAACATTGGGACATTTGTAGGACCTTAGCGGGATGTACCAGCAAGATTCCGCGTTGTTAGGGATGCGACACCATGAAAACCAATTAAGGCGCGAGCGTATTCTCTGCCAGTTGCTTCATGTGCATAATATAATACTCATCTGGATTTACCTGTCAGTTGGTTGAGTTTCATACAGGCAAACAAGGACAGAGAATATATCTGTATCTGAACTGTATAGATATAGG